ATCAAAGCTGGAACGTGGACGTATATTGCAGCGTTAGCGATGCTCTTGTTTTCCATTTCTGGTGATTTCAATGGGTAGGTTCACAAGATGGTCTGGTACAAAGACAATAATAACACAGTTACAGTTATTATGTCTATGATTGATTCATTGGTGGCAAAAGTTTGTTTCAACCCAATTGAACTATCCTTGTCAGGCTTACAACTTTTCAGCCAGCCTTCCTAATATGGGACAAGTAATTGCAATTTTCGAACAGTTTCAGGCTCAGCTCATTGGGGATTCATTGATCAGGATAAATATATGCTACCTCAAGAACTAGAATTGATACAGATGAAATTATAATTTTTGTGATGAACCAATTGAAGAACTTCCATCCTAGAGAAGACTATAAAGAACCGTTAAAAAATTCTATCATATTTCTCAGTGGTTTCGTAGACCAGGAGCACTTCACTATGCAAGGTGGATGGCTAAAGCTCTTTACAGTATAAAAGTGTACTTGTTCCGAAATAATTTTAAATTGACTAATGAGTAAGAAACGGAAAGGGCAATGTCTCACATATCGCTGTTTGTTGTTTCAGTGTACATTCAGTGTTGGGAATGACACTGAGATAATAATGGCATGTGTCCCAAATCCACCTGCGAGCTCCAGTAACTGGGTCAAACTCTTAACATTTACCGTTATAATCATTACCGATGGCGATATTTAGCCCTATATCAAGTTTTATATTTCTTTTTAATGGCATATAAAACTCTCTATATTTTTTTTTTCAATTGCATAAGCCTTTATATTAATTATATTGAAATGACATTTGCTATTTTAAACATTAATTCAGGCATCATAGTCAAATTCATGAGTAATTGGCTGTGATAAATGAATAGGTATTGATGATAAACAAATGAAATGATAACTGTAGAAATAATTTCTCATGATCAGTTACTCACGTCTTAAAACTTGACTGAAAGAATTAAATTGAGAAACGGCCATTCTAGTTTTTCATCATGTACTGACAATCAAACGATAGCATACATGGCCCTGCCCACTACACAAGTGTCATGACAATACCGCAATGGTAGCCATTTAGATCTACCAGTAACATGAGACAATAGCATTTTTATACGCCCACATGTAAATGTGGTTGTATATTGCCGTCGCCCCCGTCCGTCTGTCGGTCCGTCGGTCTGTCCGTCCATCGTCCACAATTTCTTGTGAACACTCTACAGACTACATTAATCATCTGATTGTTTTGAAATTGATATATGTTGTTTGCATCAATGAGATGAAGAAGCCTATTTAATTTCAATAACTTCCGTTAATTTCTTCAGGAGTTATGGCCCTTGTTTCACTTTGTTGCACCTTGTGAACGCTCTAACGACAAAAGTTATCAACTGATCTGTATGAAATTGATATGCATCATTTAAATTAGTAAAACAAAGAAGCCTATTGAATTTCAGCAATTTCCGTTAATTACATCTAGAGTTATGGCCCTTGTTTCATTTTGTTGAATCTTGTGAACGCTCTAACGACAACAGTTATCATCCAACCTGTTTGAAATTGATATGCATCATTTAAATTAGTGAAACGAAGAATCCTATTAAATTTCAGCAATTTCCGTTAATTACGCCGTGAGTTATGGTCCTTGTTTCACTTTGTTGTACCTTGTGAATGCTCTAACGACAAAAGATATTATCCGATCTGTATGAAATTTATATGCATCATTTAAATTAGTAAAACAAAGAAGCCTATTGAATTTCAACAATTTCTGTTAATTGCATCTAGAGTTATGGCCCTTGTTTCACTTTGTTGAATCTTGTGAACGCTTGAACGACAAAAGTTATCACCTAATCTGTATGAAATTCATATGCATCATTTAAATTAGTGAAATGAAGAAGCCTATTGAATGTCAGCAATTTCCATCAATTACTTCTAGAGTTAGGGTCCTTGTTTTACTTTGTTGAACCTTGTAAACGTTCGAACGACAAAAATTATCATCCGATCTGTATGAAATTTATATGCATTATTTGAATTAGTAGAACGAAAAAGCCTGTCGAATTTCAACAATTTCTGTAGATTACTTCCAGAGTTTTTAGAACCTTGTGAACACTCAAACGACGAAAATTATGTCATCTGTATGAAATTGTCTATTAAATTCCCCTAATTACCTACAAAAGAATAAATATGTGACATCCCTTGTCGACTGCTCGGACGATTTACCTTCTGTGGGCGTATGTTTTGTTGCCTGGAAACCTATCCTTAATACCAATCAAAGAAACAATAATTTTGTTAATTACAAACAACTTCATAAAGCATACGGTGACAACTCATTGGTAGATAATTAACTGTACCAGTAAATTATAACAATGGATTAAAGGGTGAATCCATGTTGCACGAAAACATTCAGTACTTAAAATGGTTAGATGTTAAAACTATAACACAGTTTTGATGAATGAAAACATTACTTATAGTACTCGTACTGATAACACCTAGTGCACCAGAGCTCCAAAGCTATTGCTGAGTTTATCACAGATAAAGTAGCCTAGCCCAGACTCCAAAAGACTCCTCAAACCCAGGACTACTAGATTCTGCAAAGATCCTCCAGTCCATAAGTAATTTTAAGGTTGTCTTTATTTTTATACCTTCACAAGGTATATTCTGTTCTCATTTTTTTTCTTTTATATCTACCTTATTTTATTTTATTTTGTTCTTCCACTTTTTTTTGCGTCTTTTCTCTCTGATTTATTGTTAGGATACTATTTTTTCTTTTTATATCAGATATAAGCTTATGTCCTTAATTCGTCCTTCTATTTTATTTTCTACATTTTTAATCTACTTTATTTAATCTACTTTATTTAGTTACCTTCCCCTCACCCTTTTTTTACTTTTTGTTATTTGTTTTTTCATTCTCCCTATATACCAACTTCTTAACTCCATTTATTTATTTATTTTTCTTTCTCATCCTTTCCTTATTTCCATTATTTTCCATATCAGACTCTTCATTTATTTAACTATTCTACTCTTCTTTCTATCATCTAATAACCAAAAAGGTTAGTGTACAAGCCAATCAACTGATTGAACTCTCACAAACCTCTTAAAACAACACCAACAAGCTAAATCTCTTTTATAATTACCAAACTTGATAACTGTTAAGTAAACTCATACAAGCAATAGGAACCCATAGTTAATTAGTATTAATAACACTGATTGACTAGCGGCTTTTTTGTGGAAAGGGTTAACGACAGTTATACCAGCTTAAAACAACACTAACAATCTAAATTATTATTATAGTTACCAAGCCTCATAACTGTTAAGTAAACTCATACAAGCAATAGGAACCCATAGTTAATTAGTATTAATAACACTGATTGACTAGCGGCTCTTTGTGGAAAGGGTTAATGACAGTTATATCAGCTTATGTCATTAATTAACAACAGCATACAACCTTAATCAACACTGTTCAGTCACTCCTTTTGTTTTCGATTTTACTTTTCGGCAGCATAAGAACGATGGCGACAGAGGCTAGCTCACCCATGTCAATGGCTGACGCACAGCAGCCCTGCACCAAAGTTCTTTCCTGCGACAAAAAGGAGAGAAGAACAGACCCATGTCGTACTTGTGAGGCCACTGGAAGGTAAGTCCTTCCAAGGAGCCAAACTTACGGCCGTGGGGTATTGTCAACATACCCGACATAAAGATCACAGTGCCGGGACATGTTAGACTTGCCCTCAAAAGTAGGTCTGACATGGACCTAGCGCTGGCCCAGAACCTACTTCTCGGTATGACCGTGACGGTGTCCGAACCGTCCACCTTGTCAGTAGACAAGGTGGTTGTTCATGGGATACCGGCCGAATATACCGGGGACGAAATTCTGGAGGATCTAATAGAGAGCGGGTACCAAGGTATATCGGTTTAAAGTGGCCGAGGGGAAGGACCAGGGAAGCGTCGCCCTAACCTTCAAGAAAGGTACAGCGCCAGAGGCACTTAAAATCGTGTACCTCAACCGACGTACTCACCCCTATGTACAGAGGGTAAGGCAGTGCGCCAAAATCAGAAGCTGGGGCACACAGTCAAGTACTGCAAAGGAAAGACTGTGTGCGCCCAGTGTGGGGGAATCATGCGGCGACCGACTGCAGGGCGGGCATTCAAAAAAAATGTTCAACAAACTGCAAAGGCGGTCACACGATATCACTTTATGTGGAAGCAGACGTTAAACACCAAGAACGAATGATGAAAACACTGCAATGTATAGAAAATACCATTGAACCTTCCATCAAACTTAAAAAAAAATTTTTTTATTCAGAATGACGAGACGGACCGCTTATACCGCTAAGGAAAAATTGAGGATGATTAGTTATGCTGAAGTGCACCGTAAGTAACGGGGCGGTGCGTCAGGAATTTAGTTTGGGTGAGTCGAGCGTGAGACGTTGGAGGGCTATGAAGGGGAAACTTAGTGCCATGAAACCAAATAAAGAAGGGATTAGATGGAGCGTCGCACATTATCCACAGAAAAACATGAAAAATTATTAAAATTTATGATTTTGGTCATTTTTGAAGTCATACAGTCAATCTCCAGCTTGGCCAAGTGTTCTGAAAGATGTCTCAGTCTGATTGGCTGAAGATTGTCATGTCAATGCAAAACCAACCGAGAAATAATAGATAAAGTCGGGATTACATTTTGTAGAAAAATAATGAAAAAATGAAAAATATCACCAAAAATCCAAAACTTTGAATTGGTTGTGCAACCAAGTCTCATAAAAAAAGTTTGGGTAGCCTCAATGAAAATGCAAAATTAAATTGTTTGTGCCATAAAGGACCACCCTTATGTTTTATCTTATAGCCTACTTATGTTAGACTGCTTGAACTTGAAATACTTTGAGAGAAATCTGTCCAGACATGGCTGAAAAACAGGCCTTTTTTTTTGTGTAGTGATTTTTAAGCAGATTAGTGAACACTTGGGCCATAAGTTTATACAATATGGTTTAATATTGTTTGAAAATATTGATTATAGAGACAAGCAAGAACAAAGGCAAGTGATTTAAATGAAACAGGTATTGATCTAGAACTGATGCACTTACAGAAACCTGGACAAAATTTTGATGTCTCCAAGTTTTGGAAGGTAATTACAAATATTTGATTACATGATCACAGGTGATGGCATTTCTATTTGATGGGGGTATTTTTTATACGCCCACATTTTCATATGGACGTATATTGTCGTTGCCCCTGTTCTTCCGGACGTCCATCCGTCCCCAATTGTTTGTGAACATTCTACAGGTCACAATTTTTATCCGATTTCAATGAAACTTGAAATAAAGGTTTATCACCCTAAGACCTCGGTTCCTTTCGATATTGGGATGTATCGGACTGTAACTTCATGGATTATGGCCCTTGATTATACGAAAAATCACGTTTTTAGCTTGTGAACACTGTAGAGGTAACAATTTTCATCTGATTTTGATGAAACTTGAAATGCATGTTTATAACCCACAGATCTCGGTTCCTTTCGATATTCGCACATATCAGACCCTAACTTCCTGAATTATGGCCCCTGATTGTACGAAAAATCACGTTTTTAGCTTGTGATCCCTCTAGAAGTCACAACAATTATCCGATTTAAAAAGAAAACGTTTGAATATATCACCGTTACACCCTAAGGATGGTTGAGTTCGAATTTCATGTAAATCAGACCAAAACTGCCGGACAAAATGGCCGCCCCTTGTACGCAAATAGTGTAAACATCTGGTATATCAAAGTTGTGGACCCTCTAGATGACACAATTTTGATCCGATTTTGATGAAACTTGAAAAGTTACTTTCAATATTCACTCATATCGGATCGTAACTTCCTGAATTGTGGTCTCTGATTGTACGCAAAATCACGTTTTTAGCTTGTGGTCCCTCTAGAGATCACAATTATTATTCGATTTAAAAAGAACGTTCGAATATATCACCGTTACTCCGTAATGTTTGTTGAGTTCGAATTTCGTGAAAATCAGGCCAAAACTGCCGGACAAAATGGCCGCCCCACATACGCAAATAGTGTAAACATCAGGTAAATGAAGGTTGTGGACCCTCTAGAGGTCACAATTTAGATCCGATTTCGATGAAACTTGAAATATATGTTTATAACCCAAAGATATTGGTTCCTTTCGATATTAGCGCATATTGTGATAACTTCCTGAATTATACCTATAGCCCTTGATTGAACAAAAAATCACGTTTTTAGGTTGTGGTCCCTGTAGAAGTCACAACTTGTATCCAATTTAAAAAAAAAAATGTGTGAATATATCACCATTACACACTAAGATCTTGGTTCCTTTTGATAATCACGGATGCCAGAACTTAACTTCCTGTATTATGGCCCCTGATTGTTCGAAAAATCGCATTTTTTAGCTTGTGGATTCTCTGGAATAATGACTGATTTCAAATTTCGTGAAAATTGAACCGAAACTGCCGGACAAAATGGCCGCTCTATGTACACAAATAGTGTTAAAGTATATAATATCAAGGTTGTGAACCATCTAGAAGTCACAATTTTGATCTGATTATCATGAAACTTAAAACATGTGTTTATGTTCCAAAAGACCTTGGTACCTTTCAGTATTCGCGCATATCGAACCATAAGTTCCTGGATTATGGCCCCTGATTGTGCAAAAAAAATTGCAATTTTAGCTTGTGGACTCTCTGTAGGTCACAATTTTTATCTGATTTTAAAAATCATTTAAATATATCACCGTTACACCTTAATGATGATCGAGTTCGAATTTCGTCAACTGCCCGACAAAATGACCACTCCTTGAATGCAAATAGTGGAAAAGTATGTAATACCAAGATTGTGCCAGTTGTGTACTCGTTAGAGGTCACAGTTTTTGTCCGATTTTGAGGAAACTTAAAATATATGTTTACATCCCAATGATCTCGGTTCCTTTCAATATTCAAGCATTTCGGATCGTAACTTCCTGGATTTTGGCTTCTGATTGTACGAAAAATCACGTTTCTAGCTTGTGGACCCTCTATAGGTCACAATTTTTATCCAATTTTAAAAAATGTTTAAGTGTTACAACATAATGACGACAATTTCAATTTCTTTTGATATTCATGCATATCAGACCATAAACTCCTGGATTATGTCCCTGGATTTTTCGAAAAATTGCTTTTTTTTAGCTTGTTTTCTGTCCATCTCTTTCAAAATGTGGACGTATTTGTATAATTCAATCAAATATTTTTTTTTCTTGAGCAATCTAATCCACTATTTCAGGATTTAATATACACAACCGATGATGAACTGACAGAATTACCTAATCCATCCGAAAAACATGATGAACTCCTTACAAGGTAAATAATTTTCCTTAAGTACAGACAGCTGTTGCACACACACACTCACAAACTCACACACACACACACACATCCATTAATATGGTTACTTGGTAAAAAATACTGGTGTCAGTCGAAACAAAAATGTTGTTCTTCTGTGAGTTTGTGGAATAAGATTGGATAGAACCAAACTAATTAATTAACTAAAACTGCGATGCAGTCATGACGGGTTTTACCGGTGCCACGTTACCCTAAATATATGTCACTTCCGGTACCAATGAAACCATTAAACAGGTTTCCACATAAGCATTGCACACATCAAATAAAATGGATGCCGAATCAACCAAATCCAGTAATATCAATTCATTTTATAATTGATAATGAAAATGTTCAATTAGTTTTATGAAATTGGAAATGGCATAAGGCATCACATGGTGAAAATTTTATGTAAATCGAATAATAATTGCCACTTTTATAGACCAAAAACCTTGAAAAGTGACTTGTAGAAAACCATCTATTTCTCTGCAACCGTACAATTTAGAAACCATTTTCTGGTATCTGTAAAGTGACCTGTTGAAAATCGCCTATTTCTCCGCAACTGAACAAGTTAGAAACAATTTTGGGAAACTATATGACCGTATGAATTTTATTAATATGTGAATGTAAACCAAAAGTTAAAATTATTAATACATATTAAATAATTCTTGGTTGATAAAAATGTTGATTTTAAAAGTTAAAAATGCATTTTTTGACAAAATGGCGTCACTTCCGGTGTCAATTTTAAATTGTAATCAATTTGATACGACGCATACTTGCTTTTTGAATCAAATGGTGTCACTTTTGTGAAAATCCAATAATAATTGACTATTTTACAGGTAAAATAACGAAAACAGTGACTTATTAAAAATTGCCCATTTCTAGGTAACTGCTTATATTACAAACTAATTTTAACATACATTTTCTTCGTATAGATTATAGCTACAAGTTTATAAAAGTTACGTACAAATATTTTAAAATCTGAAAAGCCTGAATGGGTTGTAAATTGAATATGCAGAACCAGAATTAGAATATGCATGAAATTTGTACCTCAAATTGATTAGTTCCTTCTCCTAAATCCAAAGGCTGCGCTAAATTTATAAAAATGGCTGCTGAACGAGAATTAGAATACACACGTGATTTGTACCTCAAATTGATTCGTACCTTTTCCTATATGTTGTTGAAATGAATTGAAAGAAATTAAAATAAATCTATATGTTGTTGAAAGAAATTGAAATAATAAACGATTACCTGCCTTTCTTTAAATCTGATGTTGATTATCGAACCCATTCTGCTCAGTGAGTTGTGATTATTGACGACAGTTGATTGGTGATTGTTAAAGCAGTTTAAAAAACGAATGAAAAAGTATTTAATCCGGGGTTGAATATTGAACCCATTCTGTTATATCACGGGGTAGTTCTGTTATTGAAACCCAACTGCATGAAAATGGCTTTCGATCGTAACCGGTGTAAATTTAGTGAAATGCTGAAGCAATTTTAGTATAAATGTATCCTTTAATTGTGTGTGAATTACTACTATTGGGCAGGCTGTGTAATATAAATTTAGCGTAGCCGTTCGATTTGATCAAATCGTTTCACCTTTATTTCAATTTCATTTAACTGATTTCAACAACGTACGAATCAATTTGAGGTACGAAGTGAAGTACGAAACGGCTCATTTGAGGTACGAATGAACTAAGTACGAAACAGCCAGGTTACGAAACAGCTGACATCCATATCATTACAGAGCCCTGTGGCTATCTAATTGCCCAAATTGGTTATTAAAACTATCCTGACAATAATCTCCATACTGGACGTATTCAAAAAATGAAGAAAAAGGTTAAAGAAAATTAGCACTCTTGCGAAAAACTTGATTTCTCCATCAGATCTTAGCGGACCAAAAGAACTAAAGTGTCACTGGATAGCCCCATTAATGGACTATCATATGACATCTGAATGATACGATTTAGATAGCCAGAAAATAAATTATGGTACGCCGAAAATCTAGTATTTTCCGTTTTGGAGCATTTTGAGAGGCCTTTTTCTCAAACACAACACAACCTATGGGTGGACTATGGCGTGAGTCCAAAAATAAAAGCATTGAAATAACATAAGTTGTCCAAAAAGAGCCTCAATCTTGGAAAAAAGTTGAAAAATCCTGAAAATGATCTTCTAATTTTCTTTCTTTGGAAATCAGCTGAATGAATTATTCTGAAACTTCTTTTACAGAAGGTAAGGTAACCAAACAACTTGTTAAAGCTATCCCAACGATGATCCAAAAACTGGAAGTAGTCGAAAAAAATTCCGATATTTTGAGAAAAAAAAAACGTAAAAAATAAAAAAATGGTGATCTTGCGAAAAAAGTGATTACTACGCCAGATTTCACCGAATCAAAACAATATAAGTGTCATTGGATAGTTCGAACAATGGACGATCTTGTGACATCTAAATGGTAAAAATTTGCAGGTTAGGCAACGCTGAAAATCTATTATTTTCCTTTTTGGAGCCAAATATGAGGCTTTTATTTCGAAAACTTCTCTTATTTATTTCCTTTCTTAAACTTCTGTTACTTAGAGTCCTAACGGTGGTCTATGGTGTGAATCCAAATTTAAAACCCTCAATATAGTATAAATGGTCCAAAAGGGCCACAATCTTTGAAAAAAGTCGAAAAATCGTTATATCTGTAAATCTGCTTCTAATGGTATAAGGGAGGTAAAACTGTCCAATGGATCTTTCTGAAACTTCTGGTACAGGAAGTTAAGTTCCCATACCACTTGTTAAATCTATCAAGATAATGATCCGTAAACAGGAAGTAGTCAAAAAAATACTCGATAATTAAAAAAAAAAAGACAGTAAAAAAATCGGTGCGTAGTAATCACTTTTTTCGTTTTTTTTTCTCAAATTATTCGAAATTTTTTCGACTAATTGACTTCCGGTGTGATCGGATCAAAACATATAAAGTATCGTTTGGTAGCTCGATAAATGGGCTATTGTATGACACACTTCCTGTCCGATTCCTGAAAGCTGTTTCAGTGTTGCTTGCAGGTCTAGTTCTTATCATTATTATTATTCCAATTCCATTTTGATTAGATCTCAGCAACTGCTTGTCGCATCGTTACCATTTCTTCGGTTTTAGTGGGAAAGTGGGTGTGACTTAGACGATAAAGCTATTTTGAACGTGAGCAGAACAGTAGGATGTTAAACCCCATTTCACTTCATTTCATTTATTTTGAACGTTCTGCGACAATGCAAAATGTGTGAAACCCGCCATTACTGCATCGCAGCTCTAGTTATTAGGGTTTCACACTGCGTAGCTTGTGTGAAACACTATTATTTTTGTTAAAATTATTAATCTGAAAGCCTATTGAGATTACTAAAATTATTATTATTATTATTATTATTTACAGTGGGAGCCTATTTCTCCATGATCAAAAACAGATATCGATCTGGGGTTCAATTTTCTATCAGGAAACCATGTGGTGGTTTCTTGATAAAGTATACTGAGCGCCATGGAAAACGCATCACTTTTATAATCGCCCCCTTACCGCCGCTAATGGGTTAAGGGGTCATATTGTCTGGCATTTTTGATTTTACTATCATCTAATCATCCCACAACATAATAAATGATTCAAGTGTATTCCTTGACCACAAAAACATACGGTTCGACACCAAAATTATCATCTTAGAATAAATACTATTGGAGCTATAGGGGATTATTTGATGTGGCGGCCGTCTTGAACGCCATCTTGAATTTCTCAAAACGCTCAAGGGTGACCGAGGTTCACTCGACAGATTCTGAACGAGGACACCCTAGGTTACTTAAATCAATCATAAAAAAACTTTGTATACAATTTCCGGGTTCAGCCATAGGTCTGCCAGACTATGCCAGTGTTCAAGAGATTACATGCGTATGAAGTGACAGTAAATGGGATTCAGCTATCAATAAAATTCTCTTCGAAAAGAAAATTATTGGCCATTTTGTTTATTTCCATTTCGGCCTATAAATCATATTCGGAGTAAATAATTATTTGTCGACGGAATTATCAGTCAACTAGGCTGTGACAATTGATAAGTATTACTCAATGACATGATCAGCTTGTTGATTAATTTACAGTATTCCGCCACATGGTTTTGATTAACGGCAATCTATATATGATCAGAATTTTAAGGGTTTTTTTCGCCACTTCTCAAAGAGAATCGCATGTACCCCAAATGTTATCACCAAAATTGAATTTCTATGTCAGCTTCAGCCTCAAGGGAGCCATGATACCACAAAACATCGCACAGGGGTTTTAAACTTGTTTGTATTCGTTTAAAATGAATTCATCTTCAATACTTTGGTCATATTTATAAACTAAAGTTTCGCCTCTCCCAACGATGCCAAGTATTATGTAAGAGGATTGACTAATTTCACTGGGAATTGAAAAAAGACAGATTTATTAATATGGTACTCTTACAAAATGTCCCTCGCCTCTCAACATCAAAAGCGTGCACGAACCGACAGTATAAATTGTACAATAAAGGCTGGATTCACAATCACAGAACCTGTGGTTTCTTAGTACCATGGAGTAAAATAATAAAGCTATTTCATACAATCGAAAACAAGCGGCTATATGAACAAGCGTCTCAATATTAGGTCATATATCAGTATTTTGCTTTCAAAGACGAGCTTGTTACACAGAGTTCGATCGAATCTGAATAATGTTCGGCAATGGGCAATATCACCGTGGGTGGAAGCGGGCGCATGTCCCTATTTTCATTAGTTTTATTTGATATGTGAATTATCATTTGTTATTTATAGTGAGGAAATTAGTTTTTCTTGGTAGTCCTATCTATGACCCAGGCAAGAAACTATACATTTATATACTCTTCAAAAAAAAGTAGGGGATATTGAAATGCAAATACCTATGCAGGTTGTCATATGATAAATAGTCATGGACAATTGACATTCTTTGAGAGTATGTTCACAGATGAAGAACTTATCGC